GTAGCCCTGCCCTGGAGGTGGGTGGGGGGTGGGGGGGAAGTGCACACTTCAGTCAGAAGCATTGCCCGAGGGGTGGGGGCTGGACAGTCCTTCTCTTTACTTGAACAAACGGACAAACAAACAGACAAATAAGTGCTCACCTTGTCATTAAGCTCGTCCAGACGTTTCTGCGCCTCCTTCTTCTGGGTGTCCAGCTGGCTGAGCGTGTTGTTGAGGCCGTCCAGCTCCTTCTGCAGCATCTGCACCTCACTGTGCCGCAGCTTGATGTCCGCCTCTTGCTGGGCCTTGTCTCGCTCCAGCTGCAACTTCTCCCTGGGGGCAGAGAGAGAGAGATAGAGATAGAGAGAGAGGGGGGGGGGGGGGGGGGGGGGGGGGGGGGGTATCGATAAACTTTAGTGAACTGGAAGGGTAAAAGTTCTACAATGCTGGGAGTAAAAAAATCGATATAAACTTTCACGAACTGGAAAGTATGAGTTCTACAAAGCTATTTGGGGAGGAGGGGGAAGAAACAATAAACTTTAATGAACTAGAAAACAAAAGTTCTACAATAAATCTCTCCACGTTTCAGTAGAATATGATGTTTTGGATGCTTCAACAGTGAAATTGTACCAGCAAACGGACTGAGCGTTGATAACGAGGTCGTAACGTTTGTTGATGCCATATATCTCCTTTGACAATCATGAGCAATGTTATTTAAACGCAAAAGTACCAGACCTCTAGTTACACACTCATCACAGTCCGTCTAACAAAACAAATAAAAACATACAGGTGAAACAAGAAACTTTCAGATTTTATGGGCTCACAAGGTCAATGACCTGAACATCAGAGTCACCACCTGTTAGACTGTAACAGGACTCAATGGTAATTATGACGGAGAACAGCTGTTCCCCCGAGATATGTTAATGAAAACAAAAAACAATGGGCATTTTCATTACTCACTGCGAAGAGAGCACACGCAATTGAAAAAAGACCAAAACAAACGTATGGTTTAATAAAATCACTGGGTCATTTTAAGCCACCAAAGAAATGATCCACAGAGAAATGCAAAAGATGGATCTGTCAACAAGACCTATTGAGACTTCTTTGAAGATATGTTCAAAAGCTATAAGAAATGTGATACTATGCACATGAGGGATGGCACAGACTGTCATGCAACAAAAGTATAAAGAATGAATAGAACATTAAATGTATTATTTATGATTATTTTTATAATTTTTTTTTAGAAAAGAAGGATCTTTCCAAAAGTATTTTCAGACATTTAGCAAAGAAGGATCTTTCATGGAGTATTTTCCGACAAAGACAACAGTAATAGCTACGCCTAGACGGATACGAAGACCCACAGTGATGTCCCAAGGAACGTTCGATGAAGCTGCTGACTGTGTGGCTGGTTCCACTGGCTCCACTGGACCCTGTAAACAAAACCAAGAAATCAGAAATGGGGCATCCTTTCTTTGTTTGAGTTTTAGTTTTTAGTAAGAGCTATACACCCCCCCTCCCCCAGAGCAGTGCTACTGACTGAAGTGTCTTCAGGCCATTCCCATACCCATGTTCTTATGCACAAAGGAATTGTAAATGTGCTGATTTATCAATGTCGTGCTCATTCTGTGTCAGAATATTATAGGGGGAACTGCTGCTTTTTCTTTCCTCATCCTTACTATCGTCATTTTTCCTCTACTTCTTTTGTATGTTTGTCACTCTCTTGTGAACTGCTATTTCCAGGGTGTCTTGATAGTCGAAACAGATTTTGTTCTGTTGAGGCTAGAAAGATGAGCAGAGCAAGCCTGATTCCCCGTTTGGACTTCTCTATTGACATCCATCTCTTGGCGCTCATATGATCATATGCAGTTGCGAGCGCTGTAATACCTTACTAAAACTAAACTAAGAGTTATATGGCTCTTGCAACACAACAGGTCTTATAAGAGCCAAAGATCAGAGGTAATATTAAAGAGCGATATAAACTGAAAAAAAGGTCTTAGTTTTTGTTAGAATTTTATGGCACCTGCACGACAATTAAATCTCATAAGTGCTGAAGATTAGAGGTATTACTTAAGAAAAGAGGGAGGGATAGGACTGAAAGATGTTTTAGTATAGTAAGAGTTTTATGGCGCTTGCAACTGCATAAGGTCATAAGAGTACATGAAAGATGTTTGATAGGAAAGAAGGAGCTAACCAAACCAGAGTATCCGCCAACCACCCACTTTCTTTGTTTGAGAAAAATATATGCTTCTAAGAATAACGTGAACCATTTCCTCAAGAGATAAGTTAAGTAAGCTTAGTTTAATAAGAGTTTTACGGAATGAGCACACGAAACACAAGCTGGTTGCAGTTTCCAAGGACACTCAGGCTCTGAAGGTCGCCTAATTTCCGCTGCCACTTTCTCGCTAATATGACCTCTGACACTAGGGGACCCCCACCTCCTTAAATCGCAAATATGCCAACTTCTATTCAGGATAGAGAGATATTTTTTTCATTAAAGGTAAGTTTAGCCAAATCAACAGGCGTTATGATGATGCCAATAACTCCAGCCATTAGCCAAAAAATTGACGAGTACTAGATTACACTGTGTTTCAAGACAATTAGCCATGGGCATAGCATAGGCAGCCCTAACTAATTTATAAACAAAAGCCTGCATGCAAACACATTACCACCACCCTCAGTCGCCAGCTTCTTTTGCAGTTATTTGTAATCAAGAAACACGAAAAATTAAGACCACTCTGGTGACTTCGTGAGTGGCCGGCAAATACATAATATATATTTCCCCAGTAGCAAAAAATCAATTCAAATAATTTTTAAAAAACCGTCTAGATGAGGCGTACACTGGAAACATATCAAGGAAGAGTAAAGGAAGCCAAAGAAGATTCGCATTTCTTTCTCACCAAATCTGGAGCTGGAGTCTCCAAACTGAGCTTGGAAACGTTCATGTCCTGAGAGCTTTGCACCAAAGAGATCAGCTTCAGGGCCACAAAGAAACCAGTCTTCTCCAGGTACCCTTTGCCCATTGGGTCTGAAAGGTCCCATATCTGAGCAAAGAAGAACGGAAAAAAAGGATACGTTTTATATTTTAAAAAACACAAAATTTCAAATCCCTACAGGTACGTGATGCCTCATACTCATGGCATAATATGATAATTAGCAAACTATTTGTCCCCACAATGAACAAAAGAAGAAAGATGAGACATGAGACATTACACCAGCTACATAGATAGGAAGATTAAATACAATAATGCAGACAAAATATCTTGACTCCATAAATACATTCAACGGTCTAGAGAAGGGAAATTCACTTTTCAGCATAAAATTAACACTTCATGTGCTTGGGGTTTAGATCACAATTTGTTGGGGTAACTTCCCTGGAAAAATTCTGATCTGGGGTGTTACACAAAAAACATCATAACTTAGAACAAATATGTCACAGAATAGATGTGTAATACAAAATGTCAAGAAATAAATGAATTTTCACAAAACGTTGACTTTGCTGAGGTATTTACAACTGTGTTATTATTATAATTCTAAATAAGCCAGTTTTTGTTTATACTTATTAAAAAATAGATAAGTCAAATGTTCAACCACTTCTAAATAATATGACATTTTTCAAGATATTACAAATTCCATCTAATGACCTTATCTACAATTATACAGATAAAGCCGCTGCAAATTTGAGGAGAGAAGACAGAGAAAAAAAACTAAGTAACAGTACCCATTAATTTGAACAGAAAAGGCCTCTACATTTCTTAGTTAAATCTGTGCATGAAACAAGCCACACACTGCGCCACTGACATCATGGAAGTAATATAACGCAAGTACTATTGCTAGACATTTGACAAAGGTATAGATGAAGTTGGAGAACAATGTACTCCTTTTACATTGCATCCATGATTTCAATGATGCAGTGCACGGCCCTGAGCGCTCAAAAGACTTTAAAAAACAAGAAAAGAAGGAGTCATAAAACATCAATAATAGTGTGGACAGAATCATAGTGAAACTTACCTGTGATAAAGTTGTGTCATTTAACTTTGATTTCTTCAGAAAATTTGCTGCATCCAGAGCTCCAATACTTCCTGTGCCTAAAGGGTCTGCCTATGATGTGAAATTAATAAAACACATTTAGCACACAGCTCTCTGTCATACACACAAAAGAATACATAAATCTACAAATTTACACACAGAGAGAAAAACACAGTAACATAGATATAAAATTTAGGTGAACACTAGATGCTTCAAGCATGTACAACGAAAACTCATGAGATCCACGTTAATGGACCTCCTTTTTATTTAAAACAACCCCTGATCCCAACGGCGAGTGTGATTCTGCCTTGGACTGAGTTATAAATGAAACTCAATAAGACAGACCTTTTGTATTGAGAAAAATATAGAAATCTTAACAAATATAAATTTTTTAATTTATTATGACAGTTCCTTCATTTGAATTAGATCTGAATTGTCATGGTGTCTGTAAGACACACAGGGGTGTCTGTAAGACACACATGAGCAAGCTCTTTAAATTAATACAGAGAGCAACATTATCTTCAAAAAGGCTAAGAAAGAAATAAAAATAATCAACTCCCTCTTTCAAAAACCAGATCATGAGTTCAAATATAAGTATTTATAACTTCTGTCATTAAGGTGAAAGAAAGGCTGACATTCACTTAATAAACTTAAAGAAAACAGTCACTAACCTGCAAGTAGTAGGCCTCATAAATTCCGCCATGCTTGCCAACAATCTGAAACAAAACAGCAAAATATAAACAAACAAACATCACAGGTTTATCTAGGGAATGACAAGAGTGTGGTTCACCCTGGACATTATTCCAGAGGGGTACTTTCTGCAGCAGAACTCTGCAAGAATATTCCCAACAGGGAATTGGATGCCGCCTTGAAATTGAAAGTAGAAAGAGCTTCAATCTACACAGAAGCAAAAACGTGAGAAAGGAAAAGATTGCCCCCCCACCCCCACCCCTCACATACATATATGCTTAAAACTGAGAACAGAGCCCTTCCATGCGAACTTTCAATGTTTGCCTTCAGCGCCATTTTATATAGTCAGATATTTGATATACCACTGAGTTAGGTTTTTAAGCTATTCTTTGCCAAATTTTACATCAACTTTCAACAAGTCCTCCTCGTTTAAAGAAAAAAAATGATGACCTAGACCAAGTAGACAGCAATGTAGTGCAGCAATGACAATGAAAAATTTAAACTGCTTTACAAACAAACTTTTTAAAAATAAACGAAAGAGCAGCATCCTGAAAAATAAAATCTTTTAATGTAGATTTTAATTCAACTTCAGTTGTACAAGTTATAGTAGGCCCTGTATTGAATAGCTTAATAGTGAGGATCTGAGGATCATGTCGAATTTCTCCGATCCTTTTTTGTCATTCTGCGGTTTTGGTCCCAAGAGTACTAGAATATCAATACTGACTTTAATACTCGGAATCAATGTTTTATCCACCAGTGCGAGAGATGAGTGTGCTATTTTTCAGTACAAAATTAGCAGAAATTAATATTTCATTTCTTACCTTTATAACAAAGGGGGGTTCGAGGGTGGCATGGCCCCCTGACCTAAATATAAAGGGGAGGGAGGGGGGGTTAGTAGCAATGCCAATCGGGCTAACCGACGCTGCGAAATTTTGCTCCATTTGTTTTTAGGTCCTGTATTTTTGGACCGGATCAGAACATTTGGCATTGCTAGAGCTAGATCTAGACTAGTTTCAGGAAAATTTGGTGTTTTGAAATTCGGTAGATCTAGGCCTTATTGATATTTTCTCTCACTCGCCGCGCGTCAAACATCATATCAGCACGTGCAGCCAACAGTAATAGTTTCGAACCAAAAGCAACCGTCGGCATGTTGTTGTTGTTGTTGTTAGCCATCCAGTAGCATCTGAGCGTTAACTCTTCTGAATGATGCCATTCGGTAATAGTTGCATGTTTGTTCTAATTGTTGTCTTGAGGAGTAGAGGCAATTAGATGTGTGGGGTAGCTTGGGAAGAAAACATCCCCTTAAATCAGTTAGTTTTCTACAGAAAAACAGATGATGTTCAACTGTCTCTGAGGGGTAGTCACATAGTGGGCAGGCAGCAGACTGCTTTACTCCAATTCGGTTGAGATGTTGGTTGAGGGGTACATGTTGTGTTCTAAGTTGGAAGATTATGGATTGATCTCCCCTCCTCAACTCATTGATTGGATCTTTGACCAGTGGTTTATTCATGTGGCCATACATCCTCCTTCCTGTCGTACCTGTGGCCCAATTATTCATCCACTCTTCCTTGAGGTTTGACTTGATCATTTGGCAGCAGGTGGTCGGCATAAGTTACTAGATTTCTAGCCAAATAGATTGGGACCAAAACCGGATTGCATCCCCTATTTTTTTCTACTCATAGATCCATCTAGATCTAGAAATACTGGTAGATTAGTAGCAGTTATTACTATTATTCGTCTAATAGGCATGCTCACTGACTTGCTGGGGGCCTCTCTTGGCCTAGAGGTTAAGGTGTTCGCCTCTCATTTAAAGGGTCCCAGGATCAAGCTCAGATTATAACAACGGAAATTTCTAAATTGTCTCCTTTCACCTTCTTTCCTGTTCTCTATCAATGTTCTGTAGTCTGCTTTCTTCTCCACTTTCACATGCGACTAAACGTAGAACGACGTCAGACAGGTATAACCCTCCGATCACGTGACTACATGATCTAAACATAGCCAACCGCATGGCACCAAAGATCGTGCCTACTATGGCACAACGTTTGAGGAATGTTTTTTCAGAAGACAGGATGCAGTGCTCCGATGATGCTGCTGCTTATCTCTTCAGCGCATTGTTTATCGGGCCCAAGGGGGGGCGGGGGTAATCTCCAGGCGTCTTTACGGAAAGTTTAGAGCGCTTTATTGTCTTTGCCTTTACCGTGTTTCAATTTGAAGTATCAGCGTTCTTACTGTCCAGAGCATCAACGATCTACCATCACCAGAGCATGGCTGACGTGCTGCAGTTAGCTGCAAGTGTGAAATTTATTGTGCGAAACACATCGATACGATATAATAGGTCAAGCCACTGACCCAACATGTCGTTCCATGCAGTATCATCAAAGATTGTTCAGTGTGTAGTGTAGTAGAGAATCTTGGGTATATCTCCGCGGTCTTCTAAAAATAGTCTGTGGGTATCCCAGGACGTGATGACATCACATTACTAAAATAAGAAGCCAATCAGGCAGGTGCATCGTTCTACGTTAAGACGCATGTTCCACTTTCTGTCCCCACCACCCACCTCCTTTGCCTCTTCCTCTGTGCCCCCCGACTCTTTCTGCCCTGCAGCCTTTCTACTGCTGCTCCTAGGCTCCTTCTTACTGCTGTCTTTCAGCCACCTCCCTGATCTTCTGGTAGGAAAGATCTGCACCTAGCCTTCTCGGACAAGGGTGAAACATCTCCAAGGTCCCGTGTGCAAGTTGCGCATGTTAACTCTTATCCTGCGTCTGTGCCCAGATGCGTATCTTATCAGCAACCGATTACGTCGGACGTGTCACTCAGTGTGTATTGTTGGTGTACAGCGCGAGCGCCGGGAAACGTGTGTTTTCGCCATAAATACCGCGGGAGTGTGTTAACTGATGATGAAAATAACGCTCTATCCTTCATCATAACTATGAATCATCATAACTATGAATCATAGCTTTCTATTTATAAAGTGTTACAAACACATGAATAACCCCCTCTCACAAGCTGATAAGACATTACGAGTAGTTACGCCCATTTGAATACCTTTCTGGACGCTCTTGTTGTTATGACTGACCTGAGGTTCGAAAAGGGATAATTTATGTCAATTTCCGAATGTTTTACACTCAAATTGTTCCTTGTACCTGCACAAGGGTATTCAAAACTATCAAACAAGCTCATTTTTTATCAGGTAGTATCATTTCATACAAAATCAAGCTCATTTGAAATATTTGGTACAGAAAAAAAGGAAGTCTTGTTTCCTGACAATCCTTTCGAGCTCCTCATGTCTAAGTGGGTCAATTTCTTCTATAATTTCATTGGACAAACATCTAGAGCTATCAACTTGCCATGTTTTGAATGAGACGTATGCCTCGATTACGAACTAACACAGGTGGTTCTAGAAGAAGGCCACAAACGCACACAAACTCAAGCAGACTGACGCACACACACTTGACCTGCGTGAATGGGGATCCGACTCGGGACCCGAATGACACGTAAGAGGATGCGCGCTGCGCGTGCGCTGAGCCAGGAGCTACACTGACTCGGGACCAGAACGCAGGCGAGGTGCCGAAATAGGCTTATCGGGCTACATAAACCCGGCTCCCGCAGGATGAGGGTTAAAGACCCCTTGGTGGTCTTAAAAATAAAAAAGAGTAGGCTTCGATCGCTACCTGAGCAAAATTCAAAATTTACTACCAACTGAAATGTTTTATGTGTCCCACGCGCTCATATGACCTTATGCAGTTGCGAGCGCCGTAAAACACATACAAGTGTAAACAAACTGACTTGCTGAAAAAAGAGGCTTGTTGAGCAGTCTTCTCACTGAAGTCAAGCCCTACTCTCCTACTCAACATGCCCTGCTGTGTTGTTACTACAGTCTACAGACACTCAACTTACACTGCCAGCTACTATCTATATTTATATCTAGATCCAGATCTAGAGATATAATATAGAGTAGAGAAAACTATAAACTAGGCAGGCTAGATAGACTCTAGACTCGATATAGAGTCTAGTCCAGTCAAGATTCTAGACCTCATCGTCAGTCTCCACCCGGCCTGCAATGTACAAATGACGAAAAGAACGTAAGATCTAAACTCCAGTTTTAAAAAATGTATATACTGGGCGAAAGTAAGAAGAAGCAGTCGATAGCATTAGGAATATTAAGGCAATAAATGGAAAAAGGGAGTAAGAACTGTAATTAATGAGAGACTTTACCTGTGGCAAAGGTGGAAACGCCGCCATCTTTTAGCAGACTGTGCCGCACTCAAGATTTCTTCGAAAGGCAATTGGTTGAAAACTGTCGTAATTATTATCATTGGAGGGGGTGTGTCTCTTCCGCCGTTTCTTTCTTCAACCCTGCAGAATAATATTATGTGTTGAAAAAAGGGACCTAAATTTGGCCCAAAATATACGTATTATTATTGTTTCTCATAACACATGAACTCCACAGCATTCCATGACAAGCAATCTCTCTCTCTCTCTCTCTCTCTCTCTCTCTCTCTCTCTC